CCATGGAAACCCACTGGGTGACTTTGGGCAAGTCACACTCTCTCAGCCGCAGAGGATGGGTGGCCTTGGCAAAGCCCCTCTGAATAAATCTGGCCACACCCTAGAACCGTGATTCCAAAACTTTGGTCCAGCGGGTGTTTGGTACTTCACCTCTCAGAAGCCCTGGCCAGTTGGCCAGCAGTCAGGAATTCTGGGACCTGAAGTCCAAAACATCTGGAGGATCAAAGTTTGGGAATCACCGCCCTGGAAGATGGCTGAAGTTGACTTGGAGACACTTAACAAGGTCAAAGCGCTTTGAATGTTGGACTCGGACTCTGGGAGACCAGAGTTCGAATCCTGCAAGTTGATGTGAAGTTACATAACAATAGAGAGTTGGTGTGCATAATGGTTTGAGTGTTGGACTGTGACTCTGAGAGTCCAGGGTTCGAATCCCCCTCTCCTCGGCTACGAAAACCCACTAGATTACCATGGCCAGGTCACACTCTCTCAGCCTCAGAGGAAGGCAATGGCAACACCTTCCTTGAATAAAGCTTACAAAGAAAAATTGAGAGGAGAGTCTACATAAGCCAAAACTGACTCGAAGGCACAAGACTTGGGCAGCATAGTATAGCGGTCTGAATGTTGGACTATGGTCCAATCCACACTGCAGAAATAATCCAGCTTGAGACTGCTTCATCTGCTTTGGCTCAGTGCTAGGGAATCCTGGGAATTGTGGTTTATTGTGCTCTCTGACAGAGAAGGTGAAATGTCTCATAAAACTACGGTTCCCAGAATTCCCTATCATTAAGCCAGGGCAGTTAAAGCGGTCTCAAACTGGATTAGTTCTGGAGCGTGGATTGGACCTATGACTCTCAGTGGCCAGGATCCAAATCCCTACTTGGTCATGAAAATGCACAGGGTAGCCTTGGTCAGGTCACACTCTCTCAGCCTCAGAGGAAAGTCATGGTAGTAAAGAAATCAGGCCAAAGTGGGGGTGATAAACACTTGTGATTGTCCCCAGTTGGCATGGGAGCCACCTGCCTCTGTTTTCAAAAATTTGGACACCTGCAGCCCAGAAGATGTTTGCCCAACTGACCTCTTGACCAGTCCCAGCCCTTGTGCCAGTTCTCCTTGCAAGTCAGGTCCTCCGAACAGTCCTCCCACCATTGCTCACAGTCCTCTTTGCACAGCGGCACGTCCAGGATCCGCTCCTTGCGCCAGCTCTGGTCCACCTGCAGGCCAAGATCCAAAAGAAAATATAATATAATAATAATAATAATAATAATAATAATAATAATAATAATATAGACCCCCCCCCCAAGACCCAAAGCCAGGCCTGGATTGAGCATTCAAAGGCCACAGTCTTGACCTCGCAAAGGACACAAACAGGGCCGAGTGCCTTTGTTGTATATTCATTCCCGCACAGCAAAGGGTTGGACTAGATGGCCCCTGGAGGTCCCTTTCCGCTCTTTGAGATACTGTGACCCTATGGACAGTGACCAATGGTGGGAGGGCCTGACTTGCAAGGAGAAGGGGCCCAAGGGCTGGGACTGGTCAAGCGGTCAGTGTGTCCTGGGCTGCAGCCTGGACTTCCAAAGAGGTGTCCAAGAGGGAGGCCAAGCAAAAAGGTCTGCTACAAAGAAGGCCCTGCTCCTTGCACTCCCCAGCCCAGCTTTTCAAGTTGGTGGGACACACAGCAGGGCCTCCAGTGCACACCAGTTTGGCTATAATGGTCCAACTGGGGTAGGGCCAGGCAGAGGGGCTCCTGCACCTGGAAGTTCCTCTGCTTCCCATCCAGACCCCAAAAGCATCAACAGTCCTATTCCTATTATTTTTCTAGTAACAAAGCTATAACGGAGGCTGCATCTGCATCTGCACTGCAGAAATAACGTGGGCTGCCATGGCTCCCTGCTATGGAATCCTGGGATTTGTAGCCTTCTCTCTCAGAGAGCTCTGGGGCCACAGCACCAGAATGCCATAGCATTAAACCATGCAAGTTAAACTGGTATCAAACTGCAATATTTCTGCAGTGCAGATAACGGCATAGGCCGTACATCCCTAATTTTGGCCCTCCAGGTTTTTTGGACTTCAGTCCCCACAATTCCTAGTAACAAAGCTTAGCCAAACTGGCAGCAAGGGCTTCTGGGAGCTGGAGTCCAAAATGCCTGGAAGACCAATACAGTGTATTTGGGAATAATTTTGGGAATTAAATGCTTCTTAAACTCTTTCAAATTAGGGTTTTTGACAGGATTAATGGCTTAAGCTGGAAAATTGGAGCACGATGGTTTGTTTCAGCATCATTGGGGTTGTCCAGGTGATTGTTAAATTGTGAATTTCAAGTGATTAATTCTAAATAAGGATCATTTTAATATGTGTATATTATTATTATTATTATTATTACTATTTTCTCCCAAGATTGGGACCCAAAGTGTATATGCTGTTGTTGTTGATGATGATCATAATAATAATAATAATATTTATTTCTAACACCATTTCAAAGGGCAGCACATTAGAACATATACAATAAATATTAAATGATAAAACACATTATAAATTATTATTATTATTATTATTATTATTATTATTATTATTATTATTATTATGCTTTTTCCTCAAGATTGGGACCCAAAGTTTTTATGTTGATTATGATGATGATGGTGATAATAATAATAATAATAATAATAATAATAATAATAATAATAATAATAACAAAATAACAATAATAATGTTTATTTATAACACCCTTTCCACCAAAGGGCAGCACATCAGAACATATACAATAAATATTAACTGATAAAACACCACATTATAAATTATTATTATTATTATTATTATTATTAAATTTTATTTATACAGCACTGTAAAATTTATACTTAAATACTATAATACTAAAATACTGAAATAATATACGAATATGCTGAAAACGAAAACAAACAAAATCTTTCTCAGTCACTACAATGTTATTTCTCATTTTAAATTGGTGTGTATTTTAACTGATGCCTTTTAGCTGATGTTCGTTATCTGTTCATTGTTGTTGTTCCCCATCTCAATCCATGGGGAATAATAATAATAATAATAATAGGGAGCGCAGTTGAGTCTAATCAGGGCATCTTTATATTTTTATGTTTGTTTTATTTGTGTTGGAATGTTTATATTCCTGTTTTAATTATCTTGCCATTTAATACTGTTTTAATAAATAAATAAATAAATAAATAATAACAACAACAACAACAACAACAATAATTTATATTATTGTTTTTAGTTTGCTTCTTTTTATGGTTGGGAGGGGGTAGGGGTAGGGGATTATTTAGAAATGTGGATTTGAATTGTATATTATATTTTATTGTTATTCTTACTTGTTGTAACCTGCCTTGATCTATAAATAATATGTAAATGTATTATTATTATTATAGAATAATATTATTATTATTCATTAAAATAATAATAATAATAATAATAATAATAATAATAATAATAATAATAATAATATGCATTAATAGGAAGATGGTGGTGATGATAATTATGATGATGATAATGATAATGATGATGATAATGATAATAATAATAATAATAATGCATTAATAGGATGCTAATGATGATGATGATAACAATAACAACAACAACAATAATAATAATGCTACTTTTGCATCATGGCCAAGGTCCAGGGCCCTTCTTTTGGGGATCCAGGAAAGGGAGGAGGAGGGCCTCCGGACTCACCTGGACGATCCAGGGCCCCAGGTTGGGCGAACATTCGTAGAGACAGGTGTCCTGGATGAAGTGGGCCTTGCACTTTTCGGACATGGTGCCGCAGTGGTTCCAGTTGAAGTTGTACAGGTAGGAGGTGTCCTCGTGGGCCTCCTGGCTGGTGTTGACCGTGCAACACGCGTTCTCCTTCCATGGCGAACACTGCACAGAAGGCCAGAGGGAGGGAGGATGACCACTGACCACCACTGACCACCACCACCACCATCATCATCATCATCATCAGTTCCCCATCTTTTCCCCACAAAGTATAGAATCACAGAATCCTAAAGTTGGAAGAGACCCCAAGGGCCATCCAGTCCACCCCATTCTGCCATGCAGGAACTCCCAATCAAAGCATCCCCTGTGACAGATGGCCATGATGATGATGATAATGATGATGATGATTATTCATTAATAGGACTTGTTGATGTTGTTCTGTGCCTTCAAGTCCTCTTTGGCAACCCTGAAGCAAACTTATTATTATCATGGGGTCTTCTGGGCAAGATTTGTTCAGAGGGAGTTTGACCTCCTCTGAGGCTGAGAGAGTGTGACTTGACCCAGGTTACCCAGAGGGTTTCCATGGCCAAACAGGGATTCAAACCCTGGTCTCCTGGAGCCTCCTTTCATGTCATGGTGACCCTTTCCAAGGCTTTTCTTGGCATGATTGGTTCAGAGAGAGCCAGCCATCACTGCCTTCCTCTGAGGCTGAGAGAGTGTGACTTCACCCAAGTGGGTTTCATGGCTGAGCTGGGATTCGAACTCTGGTCTCTGGAGTTTTCCTTCATTCGCCAAGCAAAAAAAAAAAGTTTTATCCAAGCAGACCTTTAATTTTTAATCATGGGATGGCTTTTATATGGGGAGTTTCTTATATATGGGGTATGCAGTGTAGTTTTTTAAGATATGTAATTTTATATCGTTTTCAACTTGATGTTTTTAATTGGTGGCTGGTTTTTTATTATTATTATTGTAAAGTCTTTTAAAATGTTTTCATTTGTGAGCCGCCTTGGATCGTTTTCTGGGAGGAGGACAACATAAAAATGAATTAAATAAATAAACAGCCCAACAACGTTCAAACCACTGTGCCATGCTGGCTCTCCTAATTAGAATTAGAACAATATAATTAAGAGAGCCAGACTGGTTGCAGTGGTTTGAGTGTTGGACCAGGATTCCTCTGAGAGATCTGGGTTCAAATCCTGACTCAGCCACGGAAACTCTCATTGGGCGACTTTGGGCAAGTCACACTCTCTCAGCTTTGAAAGAAGGCAATGGCCAGCCTCCTCTGAAGAACTCTTGCCAAGAAAACCCTGGTTTCTTAGTTTAGGGTCAGTGTAGTCATTCGAGTGTTGGACTAAGGCTGCATCCACACTGCAGAAATAATCCAGTTTGACACCGCTTTAACTGCCCTGGTTCAATGCTAGGGAATCCTGGGAGTTGTAGTTTATTGTGGCACCAGAGCTCTCTGACAGAGGAGTCTAATTGTTGCATAAGACTACAGGTCCCAGAATTCCATAGCACTGAGCCATGAAAGTTAAAGTGGTGTCAAACTGGATTATTTCTGCAGTGTGGATGCAGCCCCTGACACCTCTGGAAGATCAGGGTCCAAACTCCCCTCTGCTCAGCTCTGGAATCCCACTGATTGACCTTGGGCAAGTCACACTCTCTCAGCCTCAGAAGAAGGCAAAGGCAACACTCCTCTGAACCAAAATCTTGCTAAGAAAATGCTTAGACAGGGTCACCATAAACCTGGCTTGACGTGAAAGGCTGCAGGAGACCAGGGTTCGAATCCCTGCTCTCAGTCATAGAAGCCCAATGAGTGACCCTGGACAAGTCACACTCTCTCAGCCTCAGACCATGGCAAAACTCCTCTGTAAAAAAACTTGCTAAGAACACTCTATCATAGGGTTGAGTTAAAGTGACCATGACTTATGAAGACCCTGCCTATGGCGAACTGACCCTTTTTGCAAGATTTGTTCAGTGGAGGTTTGCCATTGCCTTCCTGTGAGGCTGAGAGAGTGTGACTTGCCCAAGGCCACCTAGTGGGCGTCATGGCCGAGCAAGAATCGAACCCAGGTCTCCAGAGTTGTACTACAACACCCAAACACGTCCAAATGACATATTCTAGGGCTAGGCTGAGTATTCATATTAAGACAGCGTGAGGCATAAACTTTAAAACAATACTATAGTTGGGAAAGTTTGTTTTTGTCTTTTGGATATAACTCTGTCCCAAAATTGCTGGAGGGTTTGGGCTTTTGAGTACTACGAGGGGGAGCTTTGGACCACCAGCCCTGCGAGGAAGACCACTTGGAAAGCAAAGGTCACCCCCCCCCCTTTCTCTCTCTTACAAGACACTTTTGCTGATTATTTTTGCTGATTATTTTATGGCACTTTCCATCCGCGCAATGAGCAAAGTTCCCTTGGCCTTGCAGTTTAGGCAGAGAGATATCAAGCAAATTCACTGTATGATGCCATCCATAAAACCAGGTCAAAATGGCAGCGGAAGATAAAGAATGAGATAAGCCAGTCGCAGAAGACAGACACAGGAGAGCCTATCAGGATCATAGAATCTCC